CCTCAAACTGACTACCCCTAATATATATATATATATATATATATATATATATATATATATATATATATATATATATATATATATATATATATATATATATATATATATATATATATATATATATATGTATATATATATATAAATATATATATATATATATATATATATATATATATATATATATATATATATATATATATATATATATATATATATATATATATAAATATATATATAACTTAAAAATTTTCATTTCAAAATTTAATACTGGGTAATATAAAAAGAATTTTTGAGAAAAAGAAGATCTTTATACACTCAACAAACAATTAATTGCTTTCACAATTGTTTAAATTAAGTACTTTATTCCACAATATTTATAGACAAAATTTGTTGATGAGTCTTTTTTTGTGTATTATTTAAAAGTAAATTAAAAATTTAAAAGCTTCTTGGATATAAGAAAATTTGTTCAAAATATAAATAGGGTTAAATGATAAAGACATAAATAAGCTATTTATTCTGTGATTAAATGCTTTGAAAACCAGATCTTTACTAACACAAATAAGAAATCTAAGATTAGCACTTTCTATCAAAAAATCTAAAGAATAAAAACATAATATATCGCTACATATATAATTGAATTAAAATTAAAGTAAATAGTTTTTAACTTTTTTTTTAACTTTTTAAAAGTTTTTTATCTTGTTTTGCAAGTTAAACTTTGCTAATTCATCCTTCCTTTGCCAGCAAACTTTTCTAAAACTTTTATATGTTCTTTCCAGTGGTGAGGGTACAGTAAGAAATTGGCTTTATTTAATCAAATATTGATGAAGCAATGCAAGGTTTTGGTTGCCACAGTAAAAAACAGGAAAGTAATCTTTCAATCGATATACTTCACAAAGTGGGGAAGAACACATGGTATTTTTAGCTTCAGGAATATTATTTCTTGGTATCGTAGCAATCCAACATTTACATTCATTAATATTTCTCAACAGTTAAAATAGAATAACTCGAATCTCAAAATGTTTTAACTCTATTCTGAGGGTTATAATTATCATTACAATAGGTAACATAATATCAATAAACCATTTCCTAAATAATAAGTCATACTCTTTCCTAATTTCTTTTCCTCTCAACTAATTTGTATACTGCCAATTTGCAAGTCAGTTGAAATTAGAGTGAGTGTTTTAATTATAGTCTTATATTGATTATAATCATTTAAGCTTTTGATTTCCTTGATATGCCTAATATATATAAATTTATCTTTTTATACTAACAGTATTTAAAAAAAAAAAAAAAAAAATTAACTCTGTATTTACTTTACAAAGTTGTTTTCTCATTTTTTAAATATAAGTTTAAGTATAGTTTTTTCTCCAGGTCTATTAAATAATAAGCTATATTTTCAGCTAGTTTTTATTATTATTTAAATGATGGTTGCTGGTTATTGGAAGCTTGTTGCTTGGTATTGGAAGTTTCCGAAGAATAAAAAAGAACACTGTAGTTTATATTAACATTCATAGCTTTTCAAACATTTCTGATAATTGAAGTTAAATAAAAAAAATAGCATATGTAAAAACTTTCAAACAAATTTTTATTATAGTTATTAAGTTTACTTGATCGTTAACAACAAAAACCATTGAGTTGCAGGCAAAATGCCTAAAATTAAACTCTAACAAAACTCTTTGTTGTGGTATTGTTATTAGATTAAAACTTTTGCTACTGCAAAACGCTGACAGTGGCTTTTGATTTTTTTAAATTTATACCACAAACCACTGGTAGCAACTTTAAGTATGCTCCACAATTTATCCTTTTTTTGTACATTAGTTTTTATTTTAGAAACATATATTTGTTTCTTCTTCAGGTTTAATTAATTCTCTACATGATAAATAAGAGTCATAAAAAGTTTATAAAGCTTTAATAAAACTTTATAAACATGTTTTTACGCAAGTTCAACACATTTACTTTTATTACCTGTGGAATGAGAAATAATAATGAGGAAACTTTAATAGCTTGTGAAAAGGTTTTGTATCACCATCATCTATGTAAAAAGTTTACCGAAAATTATTTAAATGTTCGGCCATTTTTTTATCATTACAACTTAATTGACTGTTATAATGAATTAAAATTTGTAAATGTTCACGGAAAGAGGTTGTTTTTTTTCTAAAATATTTAAAACAATAAAGGTTACACCTTTATTTAAAAGGTGATAAAACCATTATTGATAATTATAGACCAATATCAATATTTTCCTATTTTTTTAGATTTTTGAAAAAATTATGTTCTATTTATGTATTATATACCTTTACGTTCAATATAATTATATACTTTATATACTACATGATAAATAAGAGTCATATTGTTTGTTTACTTTATAAAGTTAAAAAATCTTGAAAATCTCCAAAAACAAACTGCTTCAAATTTAGTTCTAAAATAAGCAGCAGCATTGACACTGTGAAATTTAACTTGAAGAAGTGTATAAGTATTTAGCTAAATAGTTATAAAAGTTTTGTAAAGAAAAACATTGTTATTATACATTAATTTTGCTTTGAACTTTTATTTATAAAAGCAATGGTTTTAAGCACTTTGCATTTCTTGTTGTTAAATGATGTGTTAAAAATTTATTATCTCAACAATTAAAATGACTTGAATTTCAAAATGTTTCAACTCTGTGTGTTAAAAACTTATTTAGCTTTCTATTGATATATAGTTACATATACTCTTTTGATATATAGTTATATGGTATATAGATATATATGCTTACAAACAGATTTACTATTCATATTATAATTAGTTTTCAATCTTATGTCATTCAAACTTTATCCAAAAAAATGTGCGGTCTCAGCGAAAAGATTCTTTTTAAAACAGCTGGTAGCAAAAGAGCAGCCAAATTCAGCCATACTTCATGAAATAAAACAATAAAATTTTATATTTGACTCACTTGATGCGGTAGTGGTGTAGTGGTAGAGCGCTCGCTTCATAAACGAGTGGTTCCGAGTTCGATCCCCATCACATCCCTGGTAGTACCGCGCTCAACTCGTTTCTGCGCGCAGCGGCCTTGTTCATCAAGGTTCGTGTTTCGGAGTTATAGAGTTGAAAGAGGGTTATAGCCACAAAATAAGTAGCCTCCTCGTCTGTAATGGCCTTCTCGGTCTTAAGAAGGTGAATTAAAGTAAAAATAAAAAAAAAAAACTTGTTTCTAATATATAAAATCTTTTTTGTATACATTTCTTTATTATCTCTATTTTATGTCTTATACTAACTTAACTAATAATATTTTTGATAGAAATAAATAAACTGCTACCAATACTAATTTTTCTATTTACTATTGCCCTCGGCAAATCTACATGATCCCAAACAAATGACTTACATGCTCTAAACTTTCTTTTTTACCCCAAAATGGGAAAGTTAATGTTGTTTAAGTTATCTTCATTATTCAATTCTTGTTCATTAGAAGACATTTTAAGTATATTTAAATTAAAATAAATTAAAACCATGAATTAAAATAGTAGTTATTAAACAATTATCAAAAAAATAATAATGATTGTGATGATGAGAAAAAAATTAATTTAGTTTAACAAAAAATCAACTAAATAAATTTAAGTATATATAATAATAAATAAAATATATTAATAAAATATAGCAAAAACATTTGCTAAAAACATAATCTTTTTGTACTAAAAAGTAGAAAATAAACTATTTAATTTAAATTTAATAGTTCCGTAAACTAAAGATTGACAGGTCTGCACAAGATTTATATAAAAAAAACCTGCCAATCTTTAGTTTACTTAACTATTAAATTTAAATTAAAAATTTTATTTTCTACTTTTTAGTACAAAAAGATTATGTTTTTAACAAATGTTTTTGCTATATTTTATTTTCTACTTTTTAGTCTTTACAGAGAGTTAAATATTTAGCGATGTGTTTGTCTAGAGATTTGTAATTAAGTCGAGCTTTTTATCCTAAAGAAACGGAGTATTTGCTGATTAAAGGAGCAGAATATTTTTCTTTTAAAAGATAAATTTTTTTTATATAAAAATATAATAACATAGTGTACAAATATTTCATTTGCATTGCAGCCCGCGTCCTCCCACAGATGTATTATATTTTTATATTAATATTAAACAAAGTTAACATAACTTTGTAAGTTGCTTTTTCATTTTTATTAAAAAAATAATTTTTCAAAAAAAAAAAAAATTAAAAAAAGATTTAAAAAGAAATACAAACCCACAAGCAATCTTAGCCGATATTTAAAATAAAAAAATTTATTTTTAGAAGAGAACAATTGAGCCAAAATGAATTTGCAAACATCGGCATAAGTGCAAACTGGCATAAGTGCGCCGAATAAAATTGCAAATATTGGCATAACACAAATTGTTATTTTGCTCTTATGCCAATTCGCACTTATTAAGCCTCCCGGATTAAAAGAGCGGAATATTTTTTTAAAGGATACAATTTTTTTTATATAAAAGTAGAATAAGATTTAGTAAAAATATTTCATTTGCATTGCCATCCTCGTCCTCCCACATATATAATATATTTTTATATTAACATTAGACAATTGTTGTAAGCTATATTTTTCAATTTTATTTAAAAAAAAAAATTTTTTAAAAAGAAAGTATTAAAAAAAAAATACAAACCCACAAGCGCAGTATTAGCCGATTTTAAAAAATACACATTAATTAATGATATATAAATACTCTTTATTAATAAAGCAAAACCGCTAGCACTTTAGAAGCAAATCTTCATATAAAAGGTTACTTTTTATGTGTCCTTTGGACGACATAGAAAGTTGAGGAAGAGCGCATGTTAAGTGAAAGAAAAAATTATAATAATAGACAATAAATAAAAAAAAGAAAATAGATAAAAAATAGCACAGGTTAAAATTATAAATGATAAAGTAGTTTATCAAAAATCAATCTCATAAATTAAATAATGTTTAGAACAATTAGGTAATAATTAAAAATTACTTTATTATTGCATTTTTATTTGTTGATTCTTATATTAAGATGCTACACATGAAACTCATGAGTACAAACATATTTATGACACAGTAACATCATTACCAATGGCAAGTGTGATAATGAGGTCAACAACTATAGAAGTAGATAGTTATTTATTTGACTTACTGCGTTTAAAGTATCCTGATCATTTGCAAAGTTCTAACAAAGGCCTATACTCTTACCAAGTATTTTTTTGTATGTTTCTTTATAGTTAATGAATAATTGGTTTATAATACAATTTTACTTTAAAAAATATTTAGATTTTGGCATTTGGTTTGATGTCCTTTATGAAATTGGTTATTATTTCAAGAAATAAATATTTTAATGCTTGTGGTATAAAACTAAATGATATAATTAACAATACCAACTGTGATATAGTGTCTATACATATTGCTTTGAACACTAAAGTATTTGCAGAAAGACTCAAAAGTATTTCATCGATGCTTATCCTTCAACCAAATTTAAAAAAAACTACATTAGGTCAAGAATCAGAAATTGTAAGATTTTTTCTTTTTTACAATAACATTTTTATAAAATTTCAACAATGGCATAAAGTTGCTAGTAACATTTTTTTAATTTTTTTTCGGCTAGGTACTTTTTTGTTTGGTTAGGTACTAGAGCATAAAATTTGATAATTCATTAAGTCCATATAAAACCATATCAAATTTTGCTCTAAACTAATTTACAGGAAAATAGACAACGATGCATATAATGAAGCATTTAAAATGATTTATTGGCTAAATCTATATATATATTTTTTCTTTCTCAAGTTTAAAATTCATGGTTCTCTTTTTTTTCTTAAGTTTAATGTTTATGGTTCTCTTTACTTTATTAAGTTAAACTTCCATGGTTTCACACATGTGTAGTTTAAGCAGGTTTCCTATTTTCTTACTTAAACATAACACTATAATAGAAGCATTAGATGAGTTTGTCACAACTAGATGTCTTCCCCGGGATTAACCTGTTTTACAGTTCAGCACTGATTACTTTTACTGTGGTTGAAAAATTACCATCCAGGACTTACAAGCTCCTATCTTTAGCAAAATTAAATTAGAGTTTTCTTCCATTTAGGTAAGTTGACTTCACCATGGCTAAAAAGTTTTTTTTTTGCCTTAATATAGGATCAGTTTAACATCATTATAAAAATGTTATATGTATATATATACATATATATATATATATATATATATATATATATATATATATATATATATATATATATATATATATATATATATATATATATATATATATATATATATATATATATATATATATATAATATTTATGTTTTAATATTTAAGGATATAGATGTATATTTGATGATTCATTTTCTATCTCATCTTGCTTCTAAAAGCTTCTGTCCTGGTGTCATTGAGAAAATTAGAAAAACAAAAGTATTGATTGATTGCGTTCTTGAGTCTGCAATTAAATGTAAATGCAATGATGTAACAAAAGAAATGGTGAAACAATTGCAGTAAGTTTTTTATAAAAGTACAAATGTCTTTATTAAAAAATAAAAAATTTATTTTTATGTATGAACATAACAATGTATAAAAAATGTGAGAAATTTATTTTACTCAAAATGCTCATTGTACACAGTCATTCCATTTTTCCGAATCAAAACAACTTTTAAAAAAATTTTATTTGTTAAATGTTTATAAATATTTAATGATATTCTTAATGATTTAATATTCTTAATAGATTTTACATTGTTTTATCTTTCTCATTTTGTTTAATTACCATTAAAAAATTTACTTGAATTAAAACATTAAAATTGTTTTAAAACAATATTTAGAATTCGTTGGTGTAGTTTTAGAATCTGTCAAAAGTTTTCAGATGTTGTGTTTCAAACCTCAACCAGTTTTTGCGACCATGAAATTTATTTGTTGAGATCACTGTGGAAGGTGCGTTTTTTTTTTTTTTTTTTAAATCAATGTATATAAATATATATACTTTTTACAGATTTATATATATATATATATATATATATATATATATATATATATATATATATATATATATATATATATATATATATATATATATATATATATATATATATATTTATATTGATTGGTTATGTATTAAATAAAATAATACAAAACTCTTGTATAAAAAACAGTGCTCGATATTATGATAGTAGAGCGATATATATATTTTACAAAAGTTTTGTATTATTTTATATAATACATAACCAATCAATATATTTGCTCCTAATAGTTGAGCACTCTACTCAAGTTCGTCTTGAAAATGGAAAAAATAAATTTAAGATATTCGATCAAAAACATACCAATACCATAGGGAAAAAAATACAAATTAAAATTAATTGAGAAAACCGAATCATTTTTGAAGAAGATGAGATGAAAAGCATTCTTATTTATCAACTGCAATACAACTTCTAAAGACAATAATAATTACTTAAACTATGGAATTAATTGGAATAAATGTCCGCCTCAAGTAAAAGAGATGTCTTCTTTCAAAAAAGACGTAATATATCTAATTAAAATGATACAATTTTGAAAAGTCAAGAACATCTTTCAAGATAATATGAAAAAAGATTTAAAAATTATACAAACGTCTAAAAAAACTTTTATAAAAGCTGAAAAAACATCAAATATCTAAAAATTATCGAAAGAAGAATATAATCACCTTTTAACTAATGCTATTACTACCACTTACAAAAAAGCTGGGCAAACCTAAACGATAAAATAAATAAAGAAGGGAAAGATGTTTTGCGTAACCTTGACATTTATAATAAAATCAAAATTAACAGATATCATCTGGATATTTTATCACATTGAAAGACCATAAAAATAACTTTGCTAACAACCCTACTGTTTGTCTTCTAAATCCAGCAAAAAATGAGGTAGGGAGAATCAGCAAAATTATTTTATCTAAAATTAACAATGACCTTAAAACTAAGCTCTTTTTAAACCAAAGTGGCAAAGCACCAAGAATGTTACGGACTGGTTGATAAAAATTGAAGAGAAACATTTGTACAAATTTTTAATTTTTGACAATGATTTTTATCCTTGGATAAATGAAAAAATTCTAAACAATGCAATCAACTTTGCCAAACAGCATGTTTTAATAACTACTAAGCATAAAAAATTAATAAAACATTCATGAAAATCTTTACTTTTTAACAATGAGGAAGCATGGGTTAAGAAAAATGGCAGTCATTTTGATGTTACCATTGGGGTTTATGACGGTGCTTTAGTCTTTAAGTTAGTAGGAATTTTTTTATTGTTTCAAATTTCGTTACATTACAAAAAAGAAAATGTTGATGTATCATGACGATGGTCTAGCAATATTTAAGAACATCAATGGCCAGCAGATGGAAAAAATCAAGAAACATTTTATAAAAATTTTTGAAAGTAATGATTTTCTTATATCTATCCAATGCAATATGAAAATTGTAAATTATCTTGATGTGACACTCGATCTTAATAACAACTCTTTTTGACCTTATAATGGACTGATCTATGTCCAACGTGATTCCAACCACCCGTCTAGTGTTATCAAAGATTATCTTCAATGTTATAAAATGAAGTTATTTTTAATAATGCTACACCATCTTACGAAAAGGTTTTTAAAAAAGCTGGCTATAACTGTAAGCTTACATACCAACCCCAGGTTACATCACCTAAAAATAAAAATCGCAAGCGAATTATTATATGTTATAACCCTCTGTTCAGCCTAAATGTGGAAACAAAAATAGGAAATCGTTAATTAGCATTGGTGGACCTACATTTCCCTGTGAATCAAAAACTACCCAAGATATACAATAGAAATTTGATCAAGGTTAGTTATAGCTGCATGCAAAATATAAAATCCAAACTAGTTCACACAACCACAAGATTTTACAAAGTCAAAGAAACATAACTACAAAAACATGCATTACTAAAACCATTTGTCCATTAAGCAACCAATGTTAAGTAAGTAATAAATTTATCAAGCCACTGTGAGTTCTAATGATCCAGATCCTATGGAAAAAGTATATTTTGGTATCAGTAAGACAACATTTAAATTCAGATACTCAAATCATTTAATCTTTTAATCAAATTTTTTTTTTTTTAATTATTTGTATTCACTCCCAACAAGGCTGCAAGCAACCACTATTAAGTTGGGAGTTACTAGGTAAAAAAAGAACAGAGTTATAGAGCAAGGAAATAGTTGACAGAAGACTTGAAAAGTTGAAGGTTGTATGAGTCAGGAAAACATGAAGATGGGTGAGAGTTCCAGAGGACTGAAGTGCAAGGAAAAAAACTAGATGAATTAAAGTTTTTAGAACATGCAGGGACAGATATAGTAAACGAATGAGACTTAGCTGAATGACGAGTAAAACAAGAATGAATTTTAGTTGATGGAACTAGAGATGATAACTCCTTTGAGCAGTGACCATGATAGTATTTGTAGAAAAGAGAAAGAGGTGCAACTTTACGAAGATGGGAAAGAGGCTCAAGCTTAGCAGATAGTACAGGTCCAACAACATTTACAATGCGTTTTTGGACCTTATCAAGAAGAGAAAGTGAATCGTTAGAAGAACCAGCCCAAATATGACAACAGTATTCCATACAGGGACGAATAAGAGATTTGTAGAGGTAGAGAATGGAATCAGAAGTAAGGAAATGGCAATCACGATAAAGAGAAGCAACCTTAGCAGAAGCTAATTTAGCAATCGATTGTATATATGGTTTCCATGAAAGGTCAGTAGTAAGCGATAATCCAAGAAGACATAAAGAGGAGGATTCAGTAAGAGGATTGCCATTCATTAATATAGGAATGTTGACCATATTACGGTAGTTGTTTGCAGTAAGCAATTGGGTTTTTTTAGAGTTGAAATTCACAAGCCACTGTGAACCCCAATCTATTACTGAAGTGAGATCGGATTCAAGATCAGCTGCTTGTTCTAGGCGATCAAAAAGAGAAGACTTTTTGTCAAGACAGGAGTATAAAGTTGAGTCATCAGTAGAAAGAGCTACTTTAGATGAAAGGTTGTCAGGAAGATTGTTTATGTAGATAAGAAACAAAACAGGGCCCAGGACGGAACCTTGGGGAACCCCAGAAGTTACTGGAAATAAAGAAGAGTGTTGGCCTTCAAGGATGACTTTAATAAAACGGTTAGAAAGAAATGATTTGATAATCGCAAAAACTTTCCCAGAAACACCATATGAAGCAAGCTTATGGAGAAGACCAGCATGCCAAACTTTGTTGAAAGCTTTAAATATGTTGAGAGCAATAGCCCTAGCCTCACCGCCTCCATCTAATGCGCGATAAAATCTTTCAGTTAGCAAGTCGGTCGTAGAGCGAGAGGATCAAAAACCATATTGATTGTCTGACAGTAGTTTATTTGACTCAAGATGAGATGTGAGGAATTTGTAATACTCAAGATACTCAAATCATTTAATCTTTTAATGCGACCAAATATAAAAATGAGACTGAACTTTCAATAGAAATTTGGAGTTGAAGAGAAAAAGCTGAGGTGCCTATTATAAAGTGGAATGTTGTAAAGAGTTGTAAAGCTTATAAACCAGAAACAAGAACTTGCAAACTTTGTCTTCTTGAGAAATTAGAAATTTTATCTTTTAATGGAAACAACCTGCTTAATAAAAAAGACAAAATATTATCTAAGTGTCAACATTTAAATAAATTTTTGTTATCTTCGTTTGATACTGGAGATTAAAGGATTACGTCTTTTTAAATTACGTCAGAACTCGTTCTATCGTGTGTATATATATATACATGTATATATATATTTATGTATACATATATATGTATATATATATATATATATATATATATATATATATATATATATATATATATATATATATATCTATATGTATATATATATATGTATATATATATATATATATATATATATATTATATATATATATATATATATATATATATATATATATATATATATATATATATATATATATATATATATATATATATATATATATATATATATATATATAAAGTGAGAACAGTGTTTAATGGTACAAAGTTATTTTTTAATAAAATTATTCTTTGAATAAACTATTGAATCGTGAATTGTATTCACGATTCAATAGTAAAATATTGAATATTGAATTATAAAGAACTCTTTTTTTTCTCAGAATTTCCATTTGGCAAAAAAACCTTTAAAAATTTGTAAAATTTTTGCTTGCATTTTTAAATTACTTGATTAAGAATTTAAAACTAAAAGGAGTGAAAAATACTTGCACAATATTTGTACAAGAATAGCACTTTAAATTAAACCTAAGAAAAGTTTATTAAAATAACGACATTTAAAATCTTTTTTAATATTTTATTACAAAAGATTTTATCAACTGTAATATTTAGTTGATCCTCCTTTAGCTTTTTATATATCTTGCTATCATTGATTGTATTAGACATTTGATTTAATTAATGTCAAAGTAAGTCCATGATTTAAAAAATGTATATATAAATTATATATGTATATATAATGTATATACAAATATATGTATATGTATACAAATATATATAGTAATATATAATATATACATGTATGTATGTATAACAAATATATATAATAATATGTACGTATATATTTTGTGATAAACTACTTTTATTGTTTGTCGATTTTCTCAATCAATTCAAACCAAATTAACAGCCGGTTTCCCTGCTCTTGTTTGTTGATTTACATCAATTCTACCTTCATAATGTTTGATTATATCATAAATGGTTGGTTTGCTTGCTCCTCCAGCTAGAAAATGATCTACTGTGTACTTCTTTTCTTTGTTTATACTATTTTCATAAAGCACAGGTTTCCATAAGAGTTTTTTTTTAAACATGGTTAATAATTGAAACTTTTAAAATAATTTAGAAAGAATAAAATGATTTTGCAGTGTGTCACTGACAACCTAAGCAATAACATAAGACAAAAGTCACGAATTTTGTTCAAAAACAACAATAAAAGACAGTTAGTATCAGTTAGATCAATTACTGAAGGGTAATAAAACATTCTATTCATTGTCACTTTAAATGTAATATTTTAAATTTTATAAACAAAATAAATATCAAAAAGAATTCTACTCTTATAGATATTTTTTTTTTATTAAAAAGTACTTGGTTACCTTTTTACAATTTTCTTTACTATGACCCTTGTGGAAGACTGCCCACTGTAAATGATGAGCCTTCTGCTACTCATTAAACAATGGCTTCGTATGCGGTTGGTGGTCAGTGAAGCAAGTTTTAAGGTGTCAACAAATGCAACATGCAGAAACCTTCTTGATATGCCTGATTTGTCTGGCATTCAGAATCAAAAATTCTTTAGGCTCATTCTTTTTTTTAACTGTTTTTCCAGTGTATAGGCTGATAGGATGTTTAGTTCAACTGGATTATTATTTACATGTTGTAAAACTTGATTGTCAGACAGTCATCTTGATACACTGGTTTTTAGAATACAAAAATTGTTTAAAAAATTAAATGAAAAGTGTGTTTAGTTGTTTGTATCAAAAAAACTTATAAAGAATCTCAATAAAAAAATACTGCTCTGTTGTTGTAGATGTAGTTATTAAATACTCATTGAAGAACTTGATTGAATCATTTGTGCAAATATATTTCAGCAAAATTTAGACTTTAGTTTTTAAAATTATGAATTTATAAAAAAGTTATGAATTTGGAGGAAGAAACAATTATGGAATATCACAATATAGGAGCTTATGGAGAAGACCAGCATGCCAAATTTTATCAAAGGCTTTATAAATGTAGACATAAATAGCCCTATCCTCTCCACAATATATCTAATGAATGATAAAATCTATCAGTTATTACTGTTAACAAATCAGCAGGTGAACAAGAAGACTGAAATCCATATTGATGATTAAAAAGTAAGTTCAATATGAGAGATTAAGTGTTTGTTAATTAAAGACTCAAAAACCTTGCTTACGATAGTATGAAGGCTAATGGGGCGGTTGTTAGATGAGTCTGATTGCTCTCCTAAGTTTTTGAAAATAGGGATAATAGATACTACTTTCCAGAAGGCTGGAATGCAAGACTTTTATAAACTAAATTGCTAAATAGTTTTGAAAGTATAGGCGATAGCTCCGGAGAACACTTCTGCAAGACTAAAAAAGTTATGTTTTCTGGTCCACAAGCTGTAAAAGAGTAGGAAATCACTTTAGATGTAAAAGCTGGAGTGATATGACTGTTAAGCAATGGATCAAACTGTTTGTTGACTATATTAGGTAGGATGTAGTTAGTGGAATCAAGAGATGAGATTTTTGAAAAGTTCTTATCAAACAATTCACCTTTGTCTTTAGGTGAGGTAACAGAATCAGAACCATGCAATAGAGGAGGAATAACAGATTTGCTCTTTTTATAGACACTTTTTATAGAAAATATGTAGTTTTATCACATAATGATTAAAACCTACTGAATAAAAAAAAACGTAATTGTATCTCAGTGTCACTGTCTGTAATCTGTACAGTAAATCTTGTTTAAATGTTTCAGAAAGTGATAAACTGCTAGAGTTCTACCAATTTGAATTTACTAAAGAAATTGCTAGAGATGTTTATCATTAATTGAGGTTTCAATAATATTTCTTGGTAGAAATACAGAGAAGAATTTTATGATTCGGCCTCCAGATGCTATGCACCAAGCTTGGTGGATGGTAAGAGCCCTTTATTTGCTATAAATATTGTTACAAAGTTCCTAATTCAGAATTTCAAACAAGGATAAGGTAGCTCTGTTGGATGTCTGTCTGTTTATCGTAACATCCTACGTCAAAATTCTGGCTCTGATGCATTTTAGTTGTAAAAGTAATTTATCAGGGCTTATGCTTTTTGAAATCCATGAAAGCTTAAGAAACAATAGACAAGAGCATTTCCAAAGCAGTTTTATAGAAGTTTTGCCAGCATTTATGGTATTTGACAGATGAAGTGTCTGTTTTGTCTTTATTTGACGATGATGACAATCAAGAAACTAAAGTAAAAATGGTTGCTAATTATCTTTGCTAATTATCTTTGAAAAGGAAATTTAATAATTAATGTGTCTTTTACTATAAATACATAAAAAATATTATAAATGTGTTTTATTTACTGAATATAAATAATAAACTTTACAATGTCCCTAACTAGTTCCATATATTTCAACTTAATCGTTGACTTAAGTTGGCAAAAGTTTTTGTTATCCGAGGAATATAATGTTTAAGTTTTTGGAGTCTAATGGAAAATAAATAGAGGGTATGTGTTACGAAAAAAATATTTCATTCTTATAGCTTGGGACATCCTAATAATATATATATATATATATATATATATATATATATATATATATATATATATATATATATATATATATATATGGTATATATATGGTGTATATATATATGTATATATATATACATATATATATATATATATATATATATATATATATATATATATATATATATATATATATTTAAACAATTCAAAATGTATTCTACAAAAAGAGTGCTCAATGTTCTTAAAAGAACAGAGCAATTACAAATTAGTAAAAAATCACTTAGCAAAATTTTTTCTCATTTAACACTGTGTTTCATCAATAAAGACTCATCAGAAGATCTGATGAGTCTTTATTGATGAAACACAGTGATTGATTTTCTGATGAGTCTTTATTGATAAAACACAGTGTTAAATGAGAAAAAATTTTGCTAAGTGATTTTCTACTAATTTATATATATATATATATATATATATATATATATATATATATATATATATATATATATATATATATATATATATATATATATATATATATATATATATATATATATATATATATATATAATATATATATATATATTTATATATAATATATATATATATATTTATATATAATATATATATATATTTATATATAATATATATATATTTATATATAATATATATATATATTTATATATAATATATATATATATATTTATATATAATATATATATATATATATTTATATATAATATATATATATATATATATATTATATATATATATATATATATATATATATATATATATATATTTATATATAATATATATATGAATATATATATAATATAAAAATTATATACTAATATGCACTTTTTTAATATATCATTGTTTATTATATAATTAACTTTAGAAATTGGAAACTCTTCCAAATGATATGCTGACCTGTGAGTCATGGATTATAATTGACAAATTTTTAAAAGAATCTCTTGCAATGGATTTTTCTAACATGTAATTTACTGATTAAAGTTTTTTTTTTTTTTTAAACAGTAATAGTAACAAATTTTTTTATGTAATATATTGTTGTTGTTATTGTTGGTGTTGTTGTCTTTGTTGTTGTTATTATTATTATTGTTACTATTGCTATTATTATTATTATTATTATTATTATTATTATTATTATTATTATTATTATTAAAGCAGTTCCAGTAATAGACCCTTAGATATTAGTGTCTTGATGTAAATTTTAATATTTTCTTACATATTTTGGCTTTAAAAACAAGAAAATTAAAACTCAAAAGTATTCTTTTAGTAACATTTTCAAATATTTGGCAAAAGTGGAATAATTGATGTCTGGACTAATTGAAATTAGTTCATTCTAGATAACAGTTTTATGAATGGCTTTTATTAAATAAACAAATAAATAAAAAAATTAGTTTTCAGGGCCACTAACCTATTTCCTCCTGACAAAAAAATAAATACTAAAAAAAAAAATTAAAAACAAAAAAATGTCTTTTTAAAGCTATTTTGTGAAAAATCTTTCTAAAGAGTTATATACCACAACTTAAAAAAAAAAAAAATATTTGAGACAAAAATCCTCCTTGCCCAGGAAATAATTTTAACATGCATGTTCATTGGGACTACACAAATGCTGTCAGAGTTCTAATATAATTATAATAGAATTTATGATGTAAGTGAAACCCTTTATGATATACGTGAAAGGAAATCTTTTTGCAATGTCCCACCACATACACTACCCACACAGAGTATTACCTAAAGTGTCACCTACAAACAGGCAATGGATTTGAATACGCTACCTATCTCAAAAAATAATTTTAAATCAACTTGAAATGACTGTTCTTTGATAAAATAAATATTATAACTTACATTTTACTTAAAAAGTAAAGTATAAAATTTCAATGAAAAAATTTACTTTTATTTGTAATTGCAAATAACAATTTTTTTTCAAATTACTTTTATGTTAGTTGTTTTTGCTAATTTGTTACTTTTACGCATAAAAAAAAATTTATTTTATGATGTAGTTTTATTTTACTTTGTAAAGTAAGTGATATTTAATTATAAGTGATGTTTTTAAATATTAATTTTATGTAAGTTTACTTCATAAATATATTTTTTTACATATAAAAAGTAATTTACATTTTAATGTAACTTTCGCACACAAGTAAAATTGAAATAAATTTCAATAAAGTAAATTACTTTTTAACAACTTACCTTCAAAAGTAATTTACTTTTTCAAGTAAAATTAAACAACTTTAAAAGTCAATTACTTTTAATCGTAAAAAAAAAATTACTTTTTCAAGTAACAGTTACACATTTAAGTAACTAAATTTATTTAATTAAGTTTTACTTGTAATATAATTTATGTAAAAAATTTACTTTTAAATAAGTGAATTATATACTTTAATATGAATTATGTAAGTTACCCTTAAAAGTTGCGTTTCTACATCAAACTAAGTTAAAGAGCCATCTTTATAATTTCCATTGTTTTAGATTTATATATTTTCACTTATATCACAGTATCTTGAAATGTAATCATTTTTAGCAAATCAGTACACCAAAGTACATCAGACCTCATAAAATTAAATATCTTCAGAGCTGTTGATAATAAATGTATGCATAAAATTTTTAATAAAGCAATGAGATGCCCAAAATGTAACAATGAATTCAACAATAAAGATATATTTCAAGAAAGTTTATAAAGAAAGTACAGTTTATTTTTTGTACAGTTCTTTTTATATATAAAATTTATACACGATGTTTATACATATACATATATACATATAATGGTAGGGAAATAACTTTTTTTTTTTAATTAAATTAAATTAAATTCCTTTAACAAAGGTTATTTCACCTAAAATTCATAATATAATAAACTTAAATAAATATTATAAACTATAATATAATTAAAGTATGATAGTAAGAAGTAATATAAATTAATATATGATATTATAAAAATAAATCATTAAATAAACATAAGTTTATTTAATGATTAATTTGATATTATAAAAATAAATCATTAAATAAACATAAACAAAATGTTATATTGGGATATATGGTATATACTAATAAAGGAAACATGCAAAGAAGTTGCTGTTACATTAACTTGAGTTTGAGTTGGGGTAGCGATAGTTTTTTTTTTAATTATTGTTCTATATAGTTTTTTCAGCAATAGTTTTTTAAATTATTTCAAAATAGCGTAAGGATTTAGATCAGCAAAAGGATCGGTTAATATGTAATTCATTAAGTTTGATATGAAAAACATTTTATTTGGGTTTATGTAGATAATAAAAAAAAAATTGATCTATATTTATTATTTTATATTAATCTATATTTTTTATTTTAAATTAAAAGTTATATACTTTTATTTTTTAAACTTTATGAAGAAAAAATAATTTGCATCTGAATACACTTTTTAGATTTTTTTAAATTTGATTTTTTTCACAATGATGTATTTCTTTATAAATTTTCAAAATATTTTTTAATTTAAAGGTCTATTAGTCAATGCATGTTACAAATTACTAAATATTGGATATAAAAAAGCTGGCAACAAATTCACTCCACAAAAGGTGATGAAGTACTGAGAAGAAAACAATCTATGGATATGTCAGAAGTAAAAATTAAACTAAAAAATAAATATGAATTCTGGGCAAAATATATCTTTGCTGGGAAAAATACACAGGAAAATAATATTACTGCAGATATAAAATAGCTTGTAAAAGTGTTTAAAAAGATGTAAAAAGAAAAACACACAATTAGAAGAAACAGTTAGTTTAAGCTAAATCAAATATTAAAGTGACACGCATATAAAGCAAACAAAAAGTTAGACAATTAAATTCTTTAAAAGATACAGATAATTGATCTACTCTTGATAGTAACAAATATGAAATATATTAATTGGTTACTTTTACTCAGTATTTGAAGAAAAGCTATCTTCCAGATTTTTATCAACAAACAGAAGCATTCTCTAACACAGAAACAGCTGGTAATAAGTGAAGAAGTTATTCAAGAAGGAATTAAAAAACTAAATTCAACAAAATCTATAGAATGACTACATATGTTCTAGTGTTCTTAAAGAATGTCCAAAAAGTTTTGCGATTTTAGTAACAGTTATATATTGTCTTTCACTGAAAAGTGTTGAAATTTGTTGAAATATGTTGAAGAATGGCTATTATTACTCCTATTTTTAATAAAGTCAGTAAATTAGAAACCTTGAATTACCTGCATACACCATTCTCCACATTTCTATGCTAACAATAGTAAGATTAGTTAATTGGAGTTATTAAGATCAGAAAATCTACTACAAAAAGATATCAATAATACTGCCCTATGGTGTAAAAAATACCATTTAAAATTAAACTTAAAAAAATGCAAATTCATGCTATTTAACTGTTGTCAAATAAGGTCTGAAGCAATATATTTTATATCTGGAGTGACCAAGGAGAACATTGAGTTTGCAACCTATAGTTGGTTGCCAACTCAATGTTCTCCTTGGAAGAACATTGAGTTGGCAAGAACATTAAAAAGGAATAACAATAATATATAAATATATAAAAATATATTTATATATTATTGCAAAAATATATAAAAAATATATAAAAAAGGAATAACAAACTTTTGAACACATTTAAAAAAGAGCAAGAAAAGTTAAAATCAAAACTTTTTTACTCTTTTAGTTGTTAAAATGTAGAATAACCTTCTTAGAGTGTATTAAATACAATGTATTAAATACAATGAGTGTATTAAATACAAAAAATAGAGTGTATTAAAACAATGAAAGAATTAAAGTTGATTGATATTTTGTCAAAATAACAGAAAAACTATATGCTTATTAAGTTTTTCTGTCAAATTATCTTATAATATAATTCAAGTAGTTTATAGTATCAAAATACAAATTTCTAAATTGGGTCCGTTTAAGGGAATCTGATTTGGGTCTGTTTAAGGGAATCTTTTTTGCCTAAATTTAATATTTTTGAGCTAATTGTATTTAAAATTTTATGTTATTTTATGTAAATAAATAAAGCAATTGTTTTTTTAAACTTAAGTAATATATCAAGTAAGATTTTTAGTTGACAATATACTTAACGTTTTTTGTTGAACTTTTTTTTTTTTACCTATCTACCAAAATTATCAATAAAATTATCAATTACAGGCATTTAATTTATTTTATTAAATTAGCAATTACTGGCATTTAATTTATTTTAAAAAGTGCAAAAAATCCCAGAAAATATTTATTTAAAGATTTTTTTTTTTTTCATACATAGGATTTTAAAAAAAGAAGAATTCAAGAAGCGATGTATTTCATTTTATGCTGAAATTGTTGCTGAGTTTTGTTTTTCAAGAAAGGATTTTGATAGAGTGGATACAAATGTCATTAAGAATATTCTGGATTATGTTTTTTCTTCAAAAACCACTAAATTATTTTCACCAATACCAGATTATGCACTTGATCCAACTCCTGTCATTCGCTCATTTTTACTCCAACAACTTCTTCAAAGGTTTATTATTTCACTTTTAATGTATTCAGTTTTGAGATTATGTGATGTTATTGTTAACTGTATGAACAACTATGTTTAACTATTGTTAAAGCTGTATAGTTAGGGCTGATTAATAAATTATTCTATTGAGAAGTTAGTATGTGGTGTAGAAATAGCGTATTCACTTTGTAAGCAAGAAATGCTGAGTTCAATCCCCACTGACACTTAACTTATTTCTTTGCGTCGCAACCTTGTTAGTCAAGGTTTGTGTTTTGAAGTTAAACAGTTAAGAGAGGGTTGTAATCACATGTAGCCTCATTGGCTGTCATGGCTCCCTCAGTCTTAGGGAGGTCAATAACAAAAAAAGTCTCTCATTTGAAAGGGTTAATAAAATCAATAAATGTTTTTTTTTTTTTTTTTTATGTTATTTCAATTTACATAGTGTTTATTTAAACCTAGGACAAAACTAGTTTGGTTTTACTTTTTCTCCTTTGTCACCTATGAGGATCTTTTTACTTGCGATTACCTGATGTTTTCTTATAACTGAATATTTTCATCTTTCAGGAATTACAACGAAGTTCAAAAATACCTCAAACGCCATTTAGCTATGCTATTTTCACATGCAGATCAAAGTCAGCTTTTTGAAGTAGCAAATGTTTTTATATATTGCATGGAGGTTGGTTGGTTTTTTTAATTACAATATTTAATCAATTATGTATCTGTATGGTAAGTTAGATACCTATTAGCAAGAGTAAGAAAAGCTTTCGGATTTAGGAGTTAAATATAAATTGAAAGCAAACAAATAATTTTGGCATAAATAACATACAAAATTTAAAAAAATATAAAATTAGTAGTGTGTTCAAAAAGTAACGTCACTTTATATTTTTATTTTTTAAATTGCATGAAACAATATGCATATACAATAATATGAAGTATTTGCTCCATTACATTGTTAATGCAGTTGTGTTGTAGTGATTGAGCAGTTGTTCTATACCCACATCGACCCGGTTTACCTCCACAGTGGCTTTGTTTGTCAAGGTTTGTATTTTGGAATTTTAGAGTTGAGGAAGAGTTGTTACTAATAAAAAATAAAAGTAACCTACTTAACTGTAGCCCCCTTGGCCTTGGGGAGATGATTAAAAATTTTATATTGTATAACTGTATAATTGTAGTATTTATAGTAATATTATAATTTATATTATTAATATTATAATTTATATTACATTTATAGTAATATTATAATTATACTATTATATTTTCAATTAATCAAATATTTATACATAATTCCATTTTTTACACAAAATTTGATTCAAATTTTTTGGTGTTTTTATAGCAAAAAAATTTTCAAGCACACCCAAACATATTTAACATTTATTATCTGTCAATAAAAAATATGATAAAAAAATATGTTAAAACTGTTAATTAATATTTGAATAACAACTTTTTGAACACTTTTTACATCTTACATGTAAAAAGTTTATTAAATATAAATGTTGTGACAACACTTAAAATATCATCAAAAAAAAAATTTATGCAAACAAAAGTTTAAACAATTAGTTGTTTATATATCTGCTTATGCAAATTGAACCTATTAAAAAATTAGATTTTTCTAAATAAGTTAATTGACACTGAAAAGACTATTTCAACAGGTGTTAATAACAGTTTGTATTTTATACAAAAAACACAGCATTTATTGGGCTAGAAAACATATAAATGGATTATTTCAAATAGAGTATTTCTGAAAGAGATTCCTGTATGATCTGTTTCTATAGTTACTACTGTTTCTAAAAGAGAAAAGTATGATCTGTTTCTATATTTCTATATTTTTTATTTAAGCAAAAAGATCGTTATTTAATATTTATTTATTAGTTACAATAATTCATACCCAGAAATGTAAATTAGAAGCCAAAAAATTTTAAAATATATCAAACAATTAGGATTTTAAGACAAATAAATTTTTTTTAATTTATAATATTCTATGATTTCTAAAATATTCAGATATTGTAATTACAATAATGATAAATATATACAATAATGACAAATAATTATAATAATAATAAATTAAGGCATTTACAAGTTTAATTAATAATAATAACAATAACACTAATAGTTATAAATTCCCAATTTCAGAATCTACATAGTAGATTCGGAAATTGGGAAATACTACAAAGTAAATTTGCATGTATATATATATATATATATATATATATATATATATATATATATATATATATATATATATATATATACAAAATAGAAAGTGTATTATTATGGTATAATAATAATAATACAAATACTCTTGTGCGTTTAAGAGTGCTCAATACTATTAAATAATAGAGCAATATTTATTTATTTATATTAAATGAATAAAAACAACTATTGATGGAACTCTGAGTTTCATGCCTTTCGGCAATCATCAGCCATTGTGTATTTCGTCACTTAAAAACCGTTTAAAAATTACAAATTAAAATTACGGTGGAACGAGTTCTGACGTTACCAAACAAAACAAAACAAAACAAAAAGACGTCAAAGGTTTTAGTCCCCGGTATCAAATAAGGATAGTAAAAATTTTTTTGAATGCCGGCACTTTGATATTAATATCAAAGTGCCGAAAACAGATTTTATTCAATACACTTTTTTGTTACCTTTAAATAATGTAAACTGCCATTGACTGTGAAATCTTTGTTGTGAGAACAGTTTTTTTTCTTTATTATGTAAAGCTACTTTTATTGCACAAGTTTCTTTCCTAAGGAATTAAGAAAATTAAAAATAAATTTAAAAAAATTGTAAAGTTTTTTTTTTTTTCTACCACATCATAAAATGTACATTTCATTAAAAAACTCAAAATGTATATTATCAGCAAAACCCAGTACAATATGAAGTACAAACAAAAGAATTTTAGAAAAAGAAGAAAGAGTTTCAAAATAAATTAAAATATAATATAACTACAATCAAAGTAAAATTAAAATGAACTAGAATATAATTAAAATAAAGTCTTCAATATTTTGGCATTATTAGATATTAATGTAAAACTTACTCATAGATTTCCACGTTTGTTATATCAAGTAATATCTATCAGAAATTTAATTCAATAAACAGTGATATTTATTATTTTGGCTTTGTGTTATAACTGTCTAACTTTTGATTTAAATATCTTAAGCATTTTCTTTGTGTTGTGTCTTATTTGTGTGTATGCTGTATTATAGTAAATATAGTTGTGTTACATAGATTTAAGTATTAATAGTATTTTCTATATACTTAAGTACCTACCCAGGTTACTGGTTCCCTGATTCTGTAATGCTGTGATTTACTATTCCTTAGGTTAATTATATTAATAAAAATAAGTTATTTCCATGCGCTTTAAATAATTTATCATTTAGTTTAGACATCATCACCTAGTGAAACTTTAATAACAGTTAAGATATCAGTTAAGTTAAAGAAATCAAAAAGTTTACAAACTTTTAAAATTCATAAGAGACAGAGATTCATAAGAGAGAGAGAGCAATTCATACGAGAGAGAAAAAAAAATTTCTTATATAAAAGGAATGAAATCAAGTTAAGGAATATTATAATGTTTAGTTGTCACGACTCGTACGATACAGGTCGTGGTAAGTCAGTTCCACACCCGACTTTTAAGAGATTGTTCATAAATTATGCAATACAAAGTTTCACAATAAACAAAACAAAAAAAGATCAAAAATTTTCCCTTATCTTAATTTAAATAAAAATACCCCATTAAGTTTAATGAAAATCACTGTGCAGGAGACTTTATATGTCCCACTTCTGTTTTAAAATATTTTTGCGTTGCATAATTTATAGGCAATTCCTAAACTTGTTCTTTATTTTATTATACTCTAATTTGTGAAAGTAAACAGCAAAAAATTATTCAATTTAAAGTTCTTGCCTTTTGGTTAACAATTAATTTACTATACTTTTGAACTGTACTTATTTACTTTAATATTTTTTTACATAATAAAAGTATCTTTAACATATAAGACAGTTGGATGACATTTCTTCAGGTGTTTTTGGAAACTTAGGCTATAATAATATTTTACCCTCTCATTAATATTTATATAAAAATTAAATTTGGACATTGAATAACAAGCCAAAGAGACCTAGTTATTTTAAATTCGTTAGCTTTATCTGTTTGATATTTTTTATAAAAGCTTTTCTTCAAAAAATCCGAACAAAGCTGTTTTTACTGCTTTGTTCGGATGTTTTTACTGCTTTGTTCGGATGTTTTTACTGCTTTGTTCGGATTTTTCTGTTTTACTCTTAAGCTGTTTATTAACAATTACAATTATAATTAAAGTAATTACAATTAAGCTGTTTTTACTGCCATGTTAGGCAAATAGATTATTGAACCTGTTGTTTGTGCCAAAAATTGATACTTAATGCAAATGGAAACTTCGAGTACAAAAGGTGATAAAGGTATAAATGATTTCTATTCACATATAAAAAAAATAACAGAAATATAAAAAACAAAACAAAAATGGCTAATATATCTATTCAAAACAATAATTCCAAAGACAAAAAAATATAGAAATTTTCTTGAGAAACAAAAAACATATTTTTCTTGAGATAAAATTAAAATATAAGCTTAAAAAAAAATTATAAAAAAGTATTATATTCAACATAAAAAATCAAAAATACTTATAAAAACAATTTAAATTGAAACATTGTTTCATTATTATTAAGCTTTTAGTAAATGGTATGAAGATTATCAAGCTTCATTTTAGCTTTTTGAAAACAATCAACATTCAGAACATTTCTTAAATTCTGCTTAGTAGGAGCTTTTGAAAATTAATCACAAGGGAAGAAATTCAACCTAAAAATGGAACAAAATTATTAATTGAATACACTTCATACACATTAATTTATTATGTACTATTCATTTATTTAAGACTTTAAAAAGTGACTAAACAGATAACAAATAAGAAACTTACTTTGTGAGGCTATTTTTTTTTTGTGAAGATTCTAGATTTACTCTTTTTATAAAAGCAAGGCTAAAAATAAATAAAAAATTAAAATTTGCATTAACTCAATAATACAACCATCATTAACAGATTGCTCCATTCTGAATGACTGCTGAATTAGGATCATAGATATATAACTGACAATTTAATTTCCCAACACAATGCAAAATTTATCCATAGACCCTAAAACAGAAAGAACCATTATTTCAGGGAGGGGAAATTGGTGTAATCCTGGTTTCTTGGCAGTGAAGGAAGTAAAAGATAAAGAGGAATTATAACTCTAAAAAAAATTTTTTTTTTTTAAAAAGTTTAAAAAAATTTTGATCTACAGCTTAATCAACATGGTTTCCTGTCATTAAATAAGTCAACAATGGTAGATATGGAGAAAGAAGAGCTAATACGACTTTTCCTGAATGGCAGTACAAAAAATGAGTTTCGTTTAAAAACCTCTTTGCACCACAATAATAACAAATTTGGTTTAATTCTTCAAGGTAGTACTCTTTATTGCAATAATATTTCTTGTTATGCGATGCATATTATACCTATTGAGTTCTCACCTAGCCTGATTTCTTTCATTTCAACAAAGTCTAATAATTTCACTTCTTAAATTATTAGACATAATTAAGAATCAAAGGAGTGTGTAAAAATGATGCTTAATATAATAGTTGAACTTTCAGTTTTCTTTATTAAACTTATCTAAAATACAGTGTAAGCAAATAAATCAGAACATAATATAATAATCTAATTATATTCTACCTCTACTATTAGTCATTTAAATTTGATGTTTTAAAATAATATATAGAAATATGTTGTCAAGACAACATATTTCTATCAAGAACTTAAACTAAAGTTATAAATAAATTAATATAATCTTTTTATAATTGAGTAATGTTATATATTTAAGGTAGTTATTATTAATTATTGACATAATATTATTAGTATTTAATCAAAAAAACAAAAAATAATTTTAAAAATTAAAAAACTTTTTAACATATAAAAACTCATAATCAAAGCAAATTGAAAAATTATAAGGCCTGTCTGCTCAGCAAGTACTGCTAGCATTGAACGGTGAAATGTAATCCTCCATCATAAAATTCCATTCATTACCTTAAAATGCATTTAATGCAAGATTTGCAATAAATAAGTAAATACAAAGCTATAGAAAATAATTGAAAACCTTTATAAACAATTATATATTTGCTTCAAGTAAAGAAACTTTAAAATATTGAAACTTCTTAATTTTTGAACTATTTTAATTTTTTATATTTATTTAATATTCTAAAGAAAAAAGGTCAATAAAACAATGCAGAAAAATTAAAATATGTGTATTTATGTATGTATGTATGTATGTATGTATGTATGTATGTATGTATGTATGTATGTATGTATGTATGTGTATCTATGTATATATGTATGTGTATATGTTATGTATGTATGTATATATATGGATGTGTATTTATGTATATATATATATATATATATATATATATTATTATTATTATTATTATTATTATTATTATTATTATTATTATTATTATTATTATTATTATTATGGAGAAAACATTCTCTATACAAAAAATCCGAAAAAATTAATGAAAAATAGTAATACTATTGTTACAACGCTTAAGTATACCTTTATTTAAAAAAAACAATTAAAGTTAAACATATTTAATGAAGGAAATAGAAACTCTTAAATAGTTAAATGAGGAGCTATTATTAAATAGGAAGCCTATTTTTTAACAAAATTTATTTATTATCATATATAAAGGATAAGATGTTTACAAAAAAGTATATATCTTTTAAACAAAATTTACTAAAAAAACTAACAGTATATAAATATTTAATGAAGTGTATATCTTTTTAATAAAATTTACTTAAAATTATAAATATTAAAAAAATTATAGGTACTAAAAAACTATATATCTTTTCAACATTTCTTTTAAACACATTCTTTTAACAATATTTTTTAAACACATTTTATGATAACACTAACTACAAACAGATTTAATTTATGTGTTTTATCATGACAGTACACCACTTTACTTGCACAAACAACATTTTTGCTTTCAACAAAGCCAAGTCACATTATAGCAAAATACGACACTTGGCTAGCAAGGTCAGCATTCATGTTATAAACTAAGTCACAATAACTTGAAACCATGCAAACAAGATAATAACCACTTAAAATCTAAATGTATTGTAACACATTACAAACATAAAAATACTTCCTATATAAAAGATATTTACACACTCACAAAATATAAACCCATATAATCTTAACACATATAAACACATAATATATAACAAACAAATATAAATAAATTTATAAATTAAGAAAAATATATAAGTTATAAACTCTACAAATACAATCTTATTTTTGTAATGTTTATTTAATGACATACCTCATAATAAAAGTTTAACAACTTTAAAAAAACAAAAAACGACCTGGTTTTTTATATTATAAAAGCAAACAGATTTTTTACACTTCTTTAAAATAAGATTTTAAATGATTTTGTTCTTTAACATGTAACATAGAGTTGACCATGTGAGATGCAAGGGTTTTGGAGATAAATTCTAACTTTATGAAGAGTTTGACCTTTAGAGTCATCATTGTCCTCTAATTTAAAAACTACAGATTAATATACTTTAAATACAATTAACAAAGGACTTGAATTGTATTATTATAAAAATGCATGAGTTACATAAATTACCTGACTTTAAAATTTACATTACTAATTTAAAAATAACATAAGGTTTATCCTTTACTACAGAAGTCATCAAGTTAAAAAGTTGTCGATCTTATTACTAATTAAGCTAATAAAGCAAAGTTTTCAATCTTATTACAGATTAAGCAGATATTAACAGATTATTAAGATTTAAGAGTACCTTATGGCGTGGTCAAAAATATATAAAGAGAAATATTAAAAGGCCAAGCATGCTTATCAAACTCAGTGTAAACGCGCATGAATAGGTCATATCAGTATTAAGTTAAGCAATAGTATATAGTGATAATAGTAATAACTACAATAACAATAATTTCAAACAGAAAAATATATACCAACAACAATAACAAGAACTAAACTGTTAAAACTAAAAAGCAAACTAAAAAGTCAAAAGCACAATTATATATATATATAAAAAAAAGGAAATAAATGTTTTATTACAATAGATCTAATTCAGAAAAACATAATTAAAGGCATAATACAACAGGCGCCCCTGAATTTAATTTTTAATAGGTATGTGTAATATATATATATTTCTGACTCCCCTGGCTTTACTTCCTTTCTAAAAATAAATTAAGTTTATGTATGTAAATTATTGCTACAAATTTAAGCTACAGGTATCCCTGAATTTGCTTGTTTTAAAATACTAATTGAAAACCTCAAGTTAGTAGTTTGTGTGTGTGTGTGTGTGTCTATATATATATATATATATATATATATATATATATATATATATATATATATATATATATATATATATATATATATATATATATATATATATATATATATATATATATATATATATATATATATATATATATATATATATAGGACAAAAAGGAATCGGATCTTTCTACATTAACAAAGGAGACTGTTATCAACTTGGCTCTACTTGAGTATGTTTCAGATGAATTAGTTGTTGGATACAATTTTGTTCAATCAGTCAAGCCTGGAGAGTCTTTAACAGAAGTCTCTTCACTTGATTCTGTTGCTGCATTGCGAGTAGCTTTGACAATATCAGCTCAAATATTGTGTACCTGGTTTCTTCTGGAAAGTTATGATGAAAAAAAACTTAAAAGAAATTTTGATGGTTTTTTAGCTACACTAACAAAATTTGTTCTTAAGTATACAGACAGTCAACCATACTTTTATTTCTTGAAGCAAATTGTTCGAAATTATGGGATTCAAGGTTTGAAAGAGATTGTGATGAAGCCAGAAGTTGATTGGCTTCTTAATCAAAATGAAACCTTTGTAAGCTTCTTACAGTTTCTAAAGTTTAATTTTTTATGATTTAAACAAAAATCCTAAGTTCAAAATTAAATTGTTTCAAATTGTTTCAGATTTACACTATTCATTTTATTTTATTTTTTCCTAATATTAAAGTGTAAAGTTAAAAAGTTTTTAGTGTATATAACCTCAACTTTTTGACCCTTTGAGATCCTTTAGTAGAGTGATGGGCATCCTTTAGTAGAATAAAGTTCTACTAAAGCACTAGTAAAATAATATTCTACTAGTAATATAATAATATCCTACTAGTAAAATAATATTCTACTAAAGGATAAAATCCTTTAGAAGAATGATGGGCATTGCTTAGATATAAATATGGAATTCAGATTACTATGTCCTGACAAGTTATTTACATTTGAATTTTCATATTTTATTAATTGTGCAAACATTTAAAATTACAGCTTATTTCGCATTTTGCAGTAGTAAAAATATCCAATTTACATTAATGTATACAAGCAAAACAAAATGATATATTCTTAAAGCTATACAAGTAACAAACATGAAATATATTCACAAAATAACTTTCTTTTACATGGAATAAATTCTGAAATAATTCATTCTTAAATCCCTTCATAAAGTGGCTTTTCATAAACAATGTTTACTATTGAAGTCAACATGGCAACATTAAAACTTCTTACTGTATTCTGGATGATGATTGGGCCTTTTGTACCTTTGCAAATGTATCTGAATGTTGTGATGAATTGCTTCTGTTGCATGTTCTGAGTAAAGCCCAAGAGATTAGCCATGTCTGTCAATGAAATCTTTTTCATGGTAAAATACTACATGGACCTTGTGTGTTACAGACACATTTTATAATGCCACATAAGACACTTTAAATGCTTCAATTATTTGTGGGTAGTTTGATGAATATTTCTCAGCAATTGATTTAAAAATATCAATATTGTGTAGCACAACGTCCACCATAGCTGTTGCTTAATATGTAATGCATCAGCCCAAAGAATTGTTTGAGGAAAAACTTGAAGTCGCGCAGCAAACAGATTATTAAAAACTCCAATTAGGAGATGCAATTCCATGTGAGGAAGGAACTTCAAAACCAAAATTTCTCCAGGTAGTTTAAATTTTGGAGAATGAAAAACATTTTTGTAGTCACAAGCTTTTCTGATATTGGAACTTGTTGACTTAATGAGTGAGACATTTTTTCTCAGCGATTCAAAACTCCTTAATTTTGCTTGATTTACAAGTTTCTTTGAATCAGATTCACACCAGGTGCAACAATATGCACTTGAGTGTGCTTGAAGCCCACAAATACCATTTCCAAGTTTTAGATCACAGGACAGGAAAAATTCCTGATCTTTCAAGTTAATCAACTTTAATACTTGCAAAATGTTTGTATAATTTTGTTGTGGCTCCTCAGAAACAGCAATAATCAGTTGTCATTTGATACCAGTGTCTTTAAAAACCTTGCTTGTGCAGTTAAATTTTGCTGGGTGAATGCTAGGTTCATGGTTTAATTCAATAATTCCAGGCTAACTTTCAGTAACCCACCTCTATCAATTCCAACCTTTACATTGTGATTTTTTAAGTTTGTCTGATTATTAGAAGCTGCTAAGCTCTTGATGCCATTGTTTAAAAGTCCTGTGTTTGCTTTAACTTGAGCAAGCATTTATTGATAGATTAGAGGGAAAAGTTGTTTAGCTGATAAGGAGCCTATAGTGAATACAAAATGTTAACAGTTTAATCTGTCATTAATTTGAACTCTAAAAAAGTACATTCATACCTGGTGTTACTGGGAGCATCTTTCCACCATAAGTTTAACTTAATCAAAATGTTCTGTGTAGAGAAGGAGCTTTATTTGAAACAAAAAAAGCTGCAAATCTTTCTGATGTCAAAGGATCCTTTGTTGTAACAGCAACATTGTTTCTCCAAGTGCCTTTTGTGCAGTTGTGAGGCAATCCTCTGTCAATAATTGAAAATCTGAGCATCTTTTTCAACTGTTGAAGGTGTTTTAGCTGCTAAACTTTGTGCGAATTCAATTTTTATTTGACCATTGTTTCTCAGTTTCTAATTAAACAGATCAAACAGTAACAATCAGAATCTTGAGTTTCATAGTCTCAAACTTATACAATGATGGAAGTGTGATGTTCTCTCCATTTTTCTTCCTTCTCAAACAAGAGCAACATTTTTTACAATTTCCAAGTTAAACTTTGTCACCATTAAAGTCTAAATAAATTTCGTTTAAAAAGTTATCCTTTGATATCATAATGGAATTGTCAAACACTTTGAACTAATTTAAAAAAAAAGCAAAAATTCTTTGCACTAACTTGCATAAAAATCTAGGTAAATAATTTTTAAAAATAAAAAATCTTAAACTGGTTTATACAAATATTAGGCTTGAAATAATATATATATATATATATATATATATATATATATATATATATATATATATATATATATATATATATATATATATATATATATATATATATATATATATATATATATATATATTTATTATAACAGAATGATTTGTTGTCAAAGTTAATGAAAAGTAGTCTTTTTCTGACATGTTTTTGATTCTGACTACTCAATGTTTAACAAACTATAGATTTAAATTAAATTTACTTTTATAATTTTAACTTATTTACCTTTTTGTTAACTTCACAGAGACAAGCATAATGTTTTGCCTTGCAATCTGGTGGGTTCTTACACTTCACAGATCTATAAAAATGTTTAAAACATAATTTATTTATCCCCCAAAAAAATTTAAATGAAAAGTATTACTGCAAATCTTGAAATTATTTTATAATATTAGTTTTTATTTTATAATAGTAGTTATTTTAAAATATATTAAAATAAAAATTAGTCTTTCTTACCTTTTATTGCAAGCTACTACTGGAAGTCCACAATTACATGATGACAAATCAAATAAACGCTTAAAATTACAATCAAGATACTCCTTGTTTTTATTTGAATTTTTGAATTTGCCTTCAGCAGACAAAACTTTAATGAAAAGTCTAAACCATTTATTGGTTACTGACTTCTTGTGTATCAGAGGCAGCTTAGGATTTACTCTAATCCACAGATCAATAAGGTCACTGGCAACTTTTATGTTTATGTTTTTTAAAATAAAGTAGGAATATTGAACCACTTGCCTATAAGTGGGAAGATCACTAATTGGGCGCTCAGATGGCAAACCAGAATATCTCTTGTTTTCATTACAAGTTCTTAAACTTGATATTGTTTTAGGCATTTTCTTTAACATTTGCAACTTTTACATCAATTAAAAATTTAAACAAAAATAAACTGCAAACTGCAAATTTATTCTTAAAAATTTATTCTTAAAAGTAATATAAAGTAATAGTTTGTTCACAAAATACATTATTTCTAGTGTAAAACAAAAAGTATAAAAAAAAAACAAACCAATTAAAACAAAAAATTGCCACAAGTTATTCGATTATTAAGTTTTGATATTATAAATTATAACGCCCCTCTTCCCAAAATTATGTGAATCACAAATTTACTTAAATTGATATCGCTAAATGATTATCAACTTTTGCAAGTTTTCCTTTAAGTCTATATACTTATAGTATAAGAACAAACTCCAGGGTGACTCTTAGGTTTGGGGTTGACAAGCGTTGTAGTTCTCAATGGTTGGCAGATTTCTTGACCATAGAGTACAGGATAATAAAAGTTGTTGCAGACGGCTTGCATTTCATATGGTGAATCAACTAGAGTTTCAAAATCGGTACATTGTATTAATGCAACAGTGTCAGCAACTCTACCTGACCAATATGTAACCTTTCAGGGAGCCAGTTGAGTGTTTTTG